ATTGCGGCGTGACCATCCCCCCTGGGGGGTGATTTCTCGCTTTCTGTCTCTATGTCTCTCTCTGTCTGTCTGGCGAGCGCACGCGCCCTACAGTGAAAATCTCTCCAAAAAAAAAAAAAAAACAGAACTTAGAGGGACCAGTAGTTAGCGTAATGGCTATGTCACTGAACTCCCATGTAGTTGACCGTGGTTCGAGTCCAGGACCCAGTGGCTTAAACTCATGCCGGGCACGTGTGCATGCGTGCCCAAGATCCCGAGAGGAGAATGGAGGAGAAGGGATTGCGGCGTGGCCATCCCCCCCGGGGGGTGATTTCTCACTATCTCTCTGTCTCTCTCTGTCTGTCTGGCGAGCACACGCGCCCTATAGCAAAAACCTCTCTAAAAAAAAAAATGAAAAGAAAACAGAACTTAAAGCAGAAAATGACTGAGTGGGAGCAGGATAGGGAGGAAAGGAAGGGCAGAGCGCAGCCAGGGGACAGTGATGAGACCACTGCCTGGGGGTCCCCCAGGGGCCTGGAAGGGTGTTAAGGCTGGCCGGTCCATCCCTGAATGTGCCTCCAAAGGCTCACTGCCTAACCCCAACCCCTGTCCTGGGGCTAGGAATGCCCTCCACTTCCCTCCCATCCCGTCCTTCCAGGCCCAACCCAAATTCCTCTCACTCTGGAAAGCCAGCTGGATGCCCATCCTCTAAGTACTCACTGTTTTTACCACAAACGTGACAGTAAGTCATCGCATATGACCCATCTAAGTGAACGAAGCTCCACTATGGTAAGGAGCATGGCTTTGGGTGCTGGTACCCCACCTCCTGACATTAGCCTGGTCCTAGGGTGCGTGTCAGTCCATCCCTGCACCTGTGAAGCCCCTGCTCCCTCCCCTCTCCTCTGCCCTCCCCATTGTAACACCCCTGCACACAGTAACCAGCTCACCGGGGGGATGTGCAGGGCCTCCCTGTAAAACACCTGGATGTCCCAGTAGCTGAAGAGGCTGCAGACGGAGCGAAGCAACTGGAACAGCCAGAAGCCAGTAGCCAGGACCAAGAGGAAGACCAGCAGGGGGCTGGAGTGGATCCTGTGTTGGGTAGACAGAGAGTAGCAGGGAGAGGTGCCCGGTAGAAGGGACATCACTCCCGGAGCTACAGAACGCAGTCGCAGCGTGGAGGCCCCACTCGGCTAGCAGTTCTCACAGTGGGGTGGAGGGACGGCCTCCCAGGCCCTCAAGCATCTGTGAAGTCAAAGCTCTCCTTCAATAGCACGGACGCTTTGTGCTGTTACGCGCAGCCTCTCACGAATGCGCAGCGGGGCTTTCCACGCTAGGAGACGCCACGCTGTGAAGTAGCAGTGTCATATCACGCTGACAGCACAGAACGTGCGCTCGGGTGTTCTGAGGTTGAAAGTCCCTCTCTCAGTTGTTTAACTTCTAACAAGGTAAATATAGTTGGATATGACTCAGAAACAAGGCTCTTCGGGAATCTCAATCAACTGTGAGTATATTAAAAATACTCTTGGGTTCAGTAGGTGGCACAGTGGTTAAGGCACTAGACTCCCATGTGGCTTACCATGGTTTGAGTACCAGACTTGGCGGCTTGAAACTCATGTCAGGCGCGTATGCCTGTGTGCCCAAGATCCCAACAGGAGATTAGAGGAGAAAGGATTGTAGTGGCCATACCCCCTGGGGGGCACCATTTCTCACTTTGTCTCTTTGTCTCTCCAGCCAGCACTCCAGCCCTGTAGCAAAAATCTCTCAAAAAAAAAAGCTCTTAATACACTTGAAAATACGATTTAAAGGGCCAGCAGGTGGCATGGTTAAGGCACTGAACTCTCACATGGCCGACTGCAACTTGCTTTCTCATTTTGCCTCTCTCTGTCTGTCTCTCTGGTCAAATTAAATAATAATAATAATAATAATAATAGTAAATAATTACTTAGGGACCAGCAGTTGGCGAAATGGCTATGTCGCTGGACTCCCATGTAGATCACCACGGTTTGAGTCCTGGACCTGGTGGCTTTAACTCATGCCAGGTCCATGTGCGTGCGTACCCAAGATCCCAAGAAGAGAATGGAGGAGAAGGAATTGTGGCGTGGCCATCCCCCCTGAGGGGTGGTTTCTCGCTTTCTGTCTCTCTGTCTGTCTCTGTCTTTCTGGCAAGCACACACCCTATAGCAAAAACCTCTCAAAAAATTACTTAAACAAATAATTATTTTTAAAAATTAAAAATACAATGTAAAATATAGTAAGGGGCAAGCCCCATAGCCTAGTGGCGGAGGGAGCCAAATCCCACATGGCTGGTGACAGTCTGAATCCCAACCCCCGTGGCTTGAAAAGCACCTGGGTACATGTGCACACACGTTCGAAACCTTGGCAGGGTAGAGAAATGGAGAGAAGAGATTGCGGCGTGGCCATGCCCCGTGGGGCTGCTTTCTTACTGTCTTTCTTTCTCTCTCTGAAAAGTGCATGTGTCTTAGAAATAAATTTTTAAATAAATAAAAAGGTATAGTGGGTTATCTTGTGTCCCAAGACCAAAGACTTGGAGAATTACTGACCTAGCCCAAGGGCCAACAGGGAGGGGGTCCAGCCTGCTCCTTCCCGCACCGAGGTGTGCCTCACCTTCCCGGCCCCCGGGCCATCACATACCTCTGGGCACACTGGGCCGAAGGAAGGATGGCGTCGGACAGGGTCACTTTGCTGTGGAGCGGCCGCGGTCTTGTGCGGTTATTTGGCTGGTTAGCAAAGAGAACGTCGTAATCCACGCAGCAGAGCAGGAAGGTTGTGAAGATGACGATGAAAATGAATTGTCTGCAGAGGGACGGGCGCAGAGACATGGCAGCCAGCAGCCTTGAGAGCCGTGGGCTCCTGCCCCAGCCCCGGACACTTGGAGCCCTGGGCTGCCTGGGAAAGCAGGACGGGCAGCGGCCGACGGCGTGCTGGCTACATCGCTGGGCTCCCACACGGCCCGGACCCGCAGCTTGGAACTCAGGCCAGGCACGTGTGCGCGTGTGCCCAAAATCCCAAGAGGAAAATGGAGGACAAAGGATTTCAGCGTGGCCATCCCTGCACGGGGTGACTTTTCACTTTCTGTCTCTCTAGTGAGCGCATGCACCCTATAACAAAAACCTCTCAGAAAAAAGAAAGCTACAGGACAGCGCGGATCGGGTCGGGAAAAGCCACTCACCCCAGCTGGAAGGCGTCCTCCAGCAAGATGCAGGTAAAGCCATTCCTCTGGTGGTAGCTGTAGACGTGGCGGCCGCGCGTCAAGGAAACAAGCCTGGGGCGAGAGGGCCTTCCAGAGGAAACCTCCCCTCGCACCCAGGAAGCCCCCGCCCCCCGACCCAGGAAAGCCCCGCAGTGTCTCCAGGCCCAGAACGGTGCGAGCTCTCGGCCCTCCCTGCCCCCTGCCAGGCTGAACACAAGGATATTTTGGTGAAGAAGCTGTCCAGGTTCTGGATGTGATGCCACGAGCCTGGGGACACAGGGGAGCGGCTGGGAGTGGGGCTCCCCTGAGTGCTCCAAGCCCTCAGGCTGCTGTCAGAGACCCCGCCTGGAGGAAGTGCTGGGGACCCAGGACCCACCCACACACCGCAAGCTCACCCCGGAGCCCAGGACCCGCGCACACCACACGCTCACCCCGGAGCCCAGGACCTGCACACACTGCACACTCACCCCGGAGCCCTTCAGGTACGTGGAGCAGAGGCTGCTGCTCTTCTCCCTGGAGCGGCGAGTCTTGGGACCCCTCAGGATCACAGTCCTCCAGCCGCTCGTAATCCTGCTCAGGGATCAGAGGGCCTATCCGCAGCCCAGGAGGGTCCTGGGGGCATCGTCGTGAGGGAGGGGGAGTCACCGACGCCAGGGATGGGGCAGAGTGGGACCCCCAGGAGGGGGGAGAGGCAGAGGTGGGTGGCAACACAGGCCTGGCCTGGGTTGGGGGGATGGCTGGGGTGGGGAGGGCACTGTGTCGGGGGTCAGAAGCCCCTGTCCCTTGTAGCAGTGGGCCAGGGGGCCCTGGAGCAGTAGGGAAAAATGAGGAGGGGGTGCTTCTCATATGAGTGGCAGGGGACAGAGAGAAGATGGAGATCCTCCCTCCCCCAGGTCCCCGACACACGGGAGGAGGAGGCGGCAGTGGCATGGGGAGGAGAGGCAGCCATCCTGGCCCCAGGTCTCCCCACCGCCCCAGCCGCCCCCTACTCCCCCCCCAACCCATTCGGCTCACCATCAGACCACGGCTTCTCCCCAAAGGCTGGAAGAGCAGGTGCTGTGCTGTCCCCACAGAGGTCTGCGGGGACAGCGACAGGGACGGCGATAACAACAACACGAGGTGACTCAGTCCAGGCAGGCCTCGGGCGTCCCAGCTGCAGTCACCTGTCTGATCACTCATGCCCTTTCCAGGGCAACCTGTGGCCAAACCACTCAGGGCCCAGCCTCCACACCTGGGAGGGGCGTCGGTTTAGGAGGTGGGGCTGACGCTCCAGAGACAAAGGAGAGATCTAGCACAAGGTCTGTCTCCATCTTCAGACCCTGGGTGAGGTACCGAGAGGAACCGGCAGGCCAAGTGATCAAAACACAATTCTGTGGAAGGACTGTCAAACCTGGGGGCCAAGACATGACATCTTTCAATTCATTCTTAAAAGCTTACCCCCTCTCCACACACACATACAGCGATCGACAGGGAAGGCCATCGTAAGACCAAACCAGAAGGAAAAAGGGGGAAGAGGCATGCTTTGTTCATCTGAGGGAGCTAAGAAGGCTGTGGAGCCAGGTCGGGGTAAGCCGAGGCAAGGAAGGACGTGAAGAAAGGAAAGGCAGCTGTCTTGGGTCTGAGAAGGGACTGGGAGCTGAGAGTAGAAAAGTAGGTGTCCTTGGAGTCCCGTTACATTTACTTCTTGGTCTTTCTGAACCCCGGCACCCTGTCCTCCATGTCCTGGAGGCCCTGAGAAACAGCAGGGCTGGCCTGGCAGAGGAGGGCGGCTGGTGCCCAGGGACGAGCTGACGAGTTGAGTTCCTTGCTGGCAGGAGGAGGCGCGGCAGCTGGTCTGGTGGCTTGCCCAACGCCATTCTCGAAGCCTGAATCACCAGTGTCCTGCTGCAGCCCCTTCCCGCGGTT